AAAAAATATAAATAAAAAAAAAGAACGTAGGATTGTTCTTTGTTCGCTCATGCATACAGAAGAGACAACAAGAAAGTAACGTCGTACAAACTAGAACGGATATTTTATTTGAAAAAATAAAATAAAATACAATGCAACAAGAATTGAGAAAGAAAAAAAAAAGAACAGGGCGTATATAAAAAGAAAAAAGAACGATACATTAATGAGTACTAAATGGAGTGTGTCACGCATCGATCACTTCTTGTTTATCAAGGATGATGAAACGTCGATCTTTCATTGATAAATGTATGCATGTGTAATAAGAAAAAAAAAATCATGATATACAAGAGAGAAAAACAGTACAATGTATAATTAGTTAAATGCATCATGAGGAAAAAATGGTGTATCATATCAATGAAGTCAAATAAAATGTCCATCGTTCTATTAAATTATTGGACGATTTCGTTGACTATAAGAAAAGAAAAAAAAAACAAGTAATAATTTATCGAACTGTATATATTACAGACCTTAAATTAGTGGAAGAACGATTTACAGGTATATTTAAATTATAACCACGCTGTATTTGTGTATGAATAAGTTGTTCAACAGCATTACGTGCATGAGCTTTATCATGTTTCTCTTTTGCTGATTTTTCTTCACAAGAATGACAACGAAGTGTACCAGAACCTATTGAATTTTAAACCGTTGTTTTTTTTTTCGACTTCAAATTAAACTAAACTTACGAGCTTTGTCAATTCGACCATATTTACCACTACGTTTAGCTACATCCATAACAGACTCATGTCGATCAAATGTATATACATCAAGTTGAGCACCATGATGTATCAAACATGAAAAACATTCACCATGTCCTCGACTAGCTGCTAGATGAGCCATAGTATAACCATCATCTAATTAAAAGAGAGAAAAAAAAATTTATTTGCATTTATCACAAAATATGTCGAATATCACGTATGTAAATGTAAGAAAAGAGTTTTTTTATAAACGGTAAAATGAATCATAAATAGCACTAGGATAAAAAAATTGAAATATTTCCACTTCGATTTGTTTGAATGATTTAATTTGTTGGTTTTTTTTTCATACGGATAACGTAAACAAATACTACTGTCAAGTTTAGACATCGGCGTGACCAAAATGTCGTGACCAAAGAAAAAAAAGTTATTCGATTATAGTTTCAATAGTAAATGTGAGAACCGAAATCTATTTAACTATTCTTGTTCAGAATTTTCTTCTCTTCAAAATGGTATATAAATGTCGAAGAATCTGATGATCCATAACAGAGAAAATCACATCACATTAGTCGTGACCAATTCTGGTCACGGTCAGTCACGACGTTTTCTGGTCACGACTAATGTGATGCAAGTTTCTCTGTTATGGATCATCAGATTCTTCGACTTTTATATATAATTTTGAAGAGAAGAAAATTCTGAACAAGAATAGTTAAATAGGTGTCGGTTCTCACATTTATTATTGAAACTATAATCGAATAACGTTTTTTTTCTTTGGTCACGACATTTTGGTCACGCCGATGTCTAGTCACAAGTGCAATTCTTTGAGTATCAACTTCTTTGCAAAAAAACTAGTGTTTCATATTTTGAAAATTCGAAATTTTGTAATTGTTGACTGTAAAATTAATTATTTCCCTCTATGTACATGAATATAGTATCATTTGTAAAGTTTGTTTTGATTTCTTATTATTATTCTCTTATATGACAATTGAAAATTATCTATGAAAAGTTGCACATGTATTTTGTCATACTTAATAACAGGTAAAATTCTTTTCATGGTACAAACAATAATATTTCATAGTAGTTTCTACTGAGCGAAGTAGGCATAGATCAGGACGGAGTACAATAGGATAGAAAAATTTGTCCTATGTCCAGCTCTATTGCTGATATTATCCGTACGAAAAAACAAGCTTTGAATAAATTCCTAACACGAATTCAAAACTTGTCAGTACGGTCCCTTGCGGAGCCAAAGTGTGGAACTCACAATCTCTGACTGTTATAAATTTATGATATATTGTCAGAAGTTTTAAAACAACTTATTAAAAAAATATCAAATAAATGAATAAATCAGAATTATAAGAACTTTTATAGTTGATACGCATGCACTGAAATTTTATTTTGTCGAAGCTTGATATTTATAATTACTTTTCTATCAATTTATTTGATTTATTTAACATCGTAATGTTGAAAAAAAGTTATTTTTATTCTCCGATACATCTTCAATATATAACTTCTATTTACTTAATTATAACATCTATACGATACATGTTAAATATTAAAAATATGAAATATTAGTTATTGATTATTAATTAATTAATTCACCACTTAACTAATTAGCTGATTAATTGATTTGTGTGTAACGGTCTGTAATTAGTAGTCTGTTGTTGGGTGTTTGTAATGAGGCGTAGAGGGAATGGGAAACCGTAAAACCTCAATTTAAAACTTACACTCACTATTTTCTTCGAAAATATACATGAGTTCTACAAAATTGAATCGACTCCGAAATATTTCATCATATTTTTATTGTAGTGCTATTTCTAGCCTACCCTATAGTTTATTAAAATTGTCGTATAGAACTGTAAGTATTTGTTGCTAATAGAAAAGTAGAAAATTAAATCAAATTAGTAAGATGAACACAGTAATTAAAATGAGGATATGAAAAGTTATTTTTATTATCTAATGAAAACGAATGATTGTGATTAGCAATTGATTTAATTAAATATTCAATGAGAGGAATTTCGAACTTACTATCTGGTTGATCAATATCAATAATATTGAATTCGAGTAAATAATGTAATACTTTAGTTGATCCAAATAATGCTGCCTATAATCCATAAAAATTAACAAAATAACAAAGATATTAAAACTTAATTATCTAACCGTATGAATAGGTGTTCGTCCAAAATGATTTTTCTTTTGAAATAAATTTCGTTTCATTTTCCATATTAATTTAATTGAATCAATTTGATTATATTCACTTGCTTCATGTGCAATTGTATTTCCATGTAGATCTGTTTCATATATAGTTAAATTTGATTGAAAGAAAAATGTTAAAACATTATTAGAACCATGTTTAGCAGCATAATGAATAGGTAATTTTGATTCATTATTACTTATAGATAAATCAATATGGTTAACATTAACAAGATACTTTAAAGTATCAACATGATTATGCATTGCACTATAATGAGCAGCTGTTTGACCAAGATTATCTTGTGCATTTATTTCACAACCTATGATAAGATTAAAAAAAAATGAGATTGAATACAATTTGAAATTTAGTGAATAGAAAATAGAATAAATCAACAGAGCAGCATAAGAATATTTCCAGTTTGAAATACCTAGGAAAAAAGAATTGGATTGTTAGAAATTCTCTTGTAAACATCATCGATATATAGATGTTAAACGAACATCTATGAACATCTTAACAACTTGAGCTGTGAGATGATGCATTGATCGATGACGGCGGCTGAAATTTTTCTTAATACATTTTCTTAATTTAGAGAAATTTTAAAATGAAAACGATGGTAGAGAATCTACTGAGAGAAATCAGATGGTAATATATCGAAAAACTGATTTGAGATGTCGGAAATTTTTCAAAAATCCAATATCTGTTGTTGCATCGCGATGGCTGGGGTCTTCAGCAATTATTTCAAGCAACGGTAGCGACGGTTGCTTAGCTGATCGACTTACACTTCTACTAACAACTCTTCAAAGTTCCATATTTAACAGATGAAGCAAAAGCTGTGCATTAATTGTTGTTTTTAATATAGCATTACAATGCAATATTGTCGACGGTTAGATCATATTTATGTTAGAAAGCACACAATGTCTATTGCAATAATGTATAAAAGAATTTGATCTGAAAGTCATGAAAATCTTAGAACAAAACGTATTAGGAAACTCTTCTGCAACTTCTTAATAAAACTGTTTTTTTTACAGCAACGGCTTTCGTATGATATTAAAATAATTGATCGTTTTTGAATACTCATGAATTCTTTCTATTACCTTTTTCACAAAGTATTCGAATACATTTAAGTGTGCCATGGCTAGCAGCAACATGTAACGGTGTCATGCCTTGAGAATCTCTTTGATCAATCAATGCTCCACTATCAAGAAGTTCAGATACAAGTTGTCCATTACCACTAACACATGCTTCATGTAATGGTGTACGTTGTAACATATTTTGTGTGTGTACACTTTGACCATCCTAGAAATAATAATAATAATACAATGAAAAAGAAAACAAACAATAATAAGGAAAAATAAATTCGAATATAAAACCTCAATTAATTTTCGAACAATATCAAGATGTCCATATGAAGCTGCTTCATTAATAATTGGTTGAAATGATTCTTTAAGTTGAATAACTTTACTTGTATCATATTCACCTTTAGCATCTCGTTGTTGTAATTTGTCTATGGTTTGAGGTAATATATTTTCTTCATTGATATTATTCATTGTATCAGTTACATTCGTACTAGTAGGATCTAATTTGACTGATGTGTCAATAGGTGCTTCTTCTTGTTCATTATTCAATTCATCATCAGATGAAGTCGCTGACTTATCATTATCACTACGTAATAAAGCTGATGTATCATCAGATGATGTTGATGAAGAAGAAGAAGAAGAACGAGATGATTTTGGTTCTTCATTATCATTAGTAGATTTATTATCAGTATGAGATTGTGTTGAACGAGCAGTTTTTGGACGAGATGATGATGATGATTTTTGACGTTCTTCTATTTTCTCACTTGAAGTTGGTGATCGTTTTGATCGTTGAATAACTTTAGGTGATAATAATTCATTACCTGATTCATCTTTTTCATTTTCTTTTTGTTCTTCCTCATCATTGATATCTTCAACACTTGGTGGCATATACATTTCTTGTGATTGTCGATTATAATCGAGTGCTGAATTTGTTGCTATGACATCATCATTGTCTTTAGATGGTGAAAGTGTTTCAGAAAAATCACATGCTGATTTATCAGTTTGACCACGATAATTTGAATCAGGCTCACTCTTTAAATGAAAAATTTAAAAAAAAAATAAGAACATTTTATTTTGTCTTTCGAAGACATACCACAGGTTTAATTGATTCGAGATCTTCTTCATCATCTTCACTGTCACTATCATTTCCATCAACATTATCAATATCATCTAATTCAGTTAAATGACTTTCAACAAGTCGTGCCATATTAACTGATGGCGTTGTGTCAAATTTAACGGATTGTTTTCCACTAATTGATGATATTTGTCTATTATTTGACTTTGACGTTGCTGGTTTGAAAACTTTTTTATATTCAATAAATTTAATTTCATCATCAGCTCGTATTTTATCTTCGTCATCATCATCATCATCTTCTTCATTATCATTATCAATAGGAACATCTTTTATTAAAGCAGCTATATTTGGATTTCGTATACCGTATAAACTTGATGATGCAGGTACTTTTGGTAGAATTTGTTTTTTTAATTTTTGTCGATCATTTTCAATTTGTCGTTGTAATAAATGATCACTAACACGACCATGTCTACGACCTTGTTCATCCAAATAAACAACGGGTTTAAATGTTTCAAGTGGTCCTCGTAATGGTTGAATAAATAAATGATCTTGTACACAATTTGAAAATGATGAATTAGATGGTGTAACTAATTTTGTTCGTCGTTTATGTCGAATTAAACTTGCCATAAGAAAATACTAAAATAAATTGATAAGTTGTAATTAAACGAATCATTTTATTTATTTTTCCTTCATATTAATTCGAACGTTTATTTATTTTCATACAAATAGAAAAACAAGAAAGTTAGATATATGAAGAGATCATAAAGAGAAAAGAATGAAAGATTCCATCGAATAGTGAGGACAAAAAAAAACACGTCAATAAAATATACTTTAAAGAAATTCCATTGCTACCATAGTTGCATACTATATATGTATATCCTATTGTAGAGAAAACAATATACGAGTCTACCATGATTGTATAAAATAATAATTATGATTAGAATCCAAATGTGTTTATGTGTTTTTCAATTGTATTGAATATCTTCGAGAAATAATCCATTGATAGACAGACCTAAAAAAGACGCTAAATTTAGATGAAACTTACTGTCATAGAGCATTTTATTTTCAATTAATTTGGTATTAACTGCTAGTAGATTGATTCATATTTCACATTTCTCTGCATTGTCTTGTTGAACACGGATGAGAAGGAGTTGTATAAAGAAATACCGACCAGTTCATAATTAGGTGCATCTTCAATGAAAGTTTATGGAATTTTGAATATTCACGATCGATTTTTCTGAGTATGTCTTGATGATTTGTGTTAATGCCATATTGACTAACAACCAGATACTATTATCATTGATAATCAAACGCTAATTTTTTTTTTCAAACATTTTTGTATTGTTAACCAATCCTTCGATCGTAATAATGTAATCAATACAAACGCTGTTAGTGACGTTATTACCATAGAAAAATCATTTAGTTATCTGTTACATGTGACAGTTTCGTTTGAACAATAATGCATAACTTGAGTACATGCTATAAGAGGAAAGTTTTTACTAATAGGCGAGATGACGTCATTACAAAAGTATCTTGATTCTCTACGGTTATCAATATAATTAGATTAACTGTTTTACATGTTTATGATTCACCATCAACAACAGGTACACAACCAACAATCTGCTCTTGGCAAAAAGAAATTAACTATATACTCAAAGTTAGAATCTACTCGAAAGTCTAATATTATATATCTTTATTTCTAACACATATCCTATTCAATTTTAGTAGTACTAAACGATGATGAAGCACCTGCACAAGATGTTACTGAAAACATTTTCCTGCTTTTTCTCTTATTTTGTTTCTCCTCTTTCTCTCGTTTGTAACCCTCCTGGATACGATAGTGATGCTTATTTGGTAGAATAAGACGAGAAAGAAGAATGAATCAAGAATTTTCATTTGTTATTTATCATATTTGATGCAACTTTAAACAAGTAATTATTCTACGAATGTACGCTTCAAGCGATCTCAATAGAAAAAAAAAATACATAAGTGAAAACAAGAAAAAAATTGTATACTGCTGTTTTGCTATAAAGTTCTCGTAAAATTATATGACAATAGCTTTAATGGCTTACTCATTAACAAACATACAATCATTTTATGTTTTAAGATAATTGATTTGCTTACAGATTCCAGTTCGCTTATAAAATGAAGTAAAATAATTACTAAAATGTCATAAAAAGACATATGATTTTATTTCCAAGACGAGACACATACTCATTTCAAATATATGTTCGATTACATTATCGTGCAACTCGATGAAATAAGGTTTATTGTTTCGTCATGGATGACTCTGGATGTGATATGTTTACAGAAATAAATTGAATCATTCAGTCATGAGTTATTTAACAAAATTTATCTTTTTTTAATTGCTGTTCTGTTTACGAAAGACTTTAATCGTTGCTGATCAATTATAAAGAAAAAATAAAAGGTTTAAATCATGTTCTGCTGACCTTTGAATTTGAAGTAATTTTGTTGTAAATAATCAAAATAATGGCACCCACTTCTGCAGCCTTAAACGGATTTAATATATTGACTGACGATGTATTGTTACATTTAGTCTCGCAATAACGAACTACTCAGCCTCTACACATATACCGTACATGCTTTTTTATTTAAAAAAAAACTTTCAATACATTTGATGCATACTCAATAAATAAAGACATAAAGTTTCCCTGGTAATTATTGTTTTTCTTTTTATTTAAACCAGCAACAGTTATTTTCCTAGTAGTCATACAGAGTTATTGTATCCAACTATAATTAATAAAATAGTGTCGTTTACTATTTTCAATCGAACTTCATATGTTTTAACTAATGCAATATATATTCAGATCTAAATAGTCTTCTTTTCAATCTATTTCATACGGTCGCAACAGTCAATATTGGAATTGAAAATAACAAAGATATACTGATGGATATTAATATTCTAAGTCTCCTCTTTCTACATACGATAAAGAGCACCTCACAATGACTAAGATTTCTTATTTTATCTTATGTAGGTGATAATGGTAATAAGTGGCGTATGAGAAACTCCGCAGTTTTCAAGAAACGTTACTGATAATTATCTTTATTTTTCTCATATGAACTTATGCAACCTCAGTTCGTATGTTTTCAATGAATATATATCTGAGCTTACATAAATAGTACAATGAAGAAAATAAAACATTCTCATCTCTCAACAGTAAAATTTTTCTCATTGAAAATATACACTGAGAAAGTTAGCTATTGTTTATCTAAGGTAGATACACATTCAAAAACTCTCATACAAATCTTTTAATTTCTGTTACCATGCTATTACGTTTATTCTTTCCAGCATCGATCGATCGATCCATAGTACCAGAGATGTTGTGCGTTACGAAATAAGACATATATATCGAATATTTGAGATAAGAATATAACTAGATCATATTTTTCTTCTTATTTGGTGCCTTAGGCACGAAAAATAAACGTATATGTTTATATGAATGACCTTGATCAACGTTCACTTCAATCCATGACAAACTTCTTTCTAAAGTTAACTGCTAAGCAACGATTGTTTTGCAAAAGAGTTATAATGATAATCAGAAGAAAACAAAGGAAACTTTTTATACTTGTCGAAAGCGATATTACTAACTGGAGAAAATTAGATTTAAATTTTTTTGTAAACTCAAATATTTTTGTGTGCTAGTGACATCTGCAATAAGTGAACTTGATTTTTACTTCACATAAATAGTGTCGAACCAACTAGCGGAATGTGAAACTCATACTGATCGTGTCTCAACGAAATAAGAAAAGCTCATATGTTTTTGGTTGGAAATTCAGTACATGTAAACATTATCGATGAAGAATTTCATAAAATACTCTTCAACAACCACTCGATTAAACAATAAAAAACGACTTAATTAGCAAATTCATGTAATCATTCATCACAAAAGTTTTTCTTATCTGACTGCATTATGTCAAAAGATTTAGAATTAATGTATGTGGCCTGTATATCCTCACTAAACGATGATACCATAAGACAAGAACACTTCAATCATGATCCTCGATAATAATACATTGAAGATCTTTTATTTTAGATACACATATTGCATATAGCTGAAATTCATTAAAAATTTTCTTTCTTATATATTACTTTTGACAATCATCCACTGAGAGTATGAAAGTAATTATCAATAAATCCAATAAACTAAAGATATCATTTTTTGTCTCAACAAAAAATCCTATAACAATGAAGTTTGCCTGCAAGCCATGCAATTTGACTATTACAGAAGTTCCAATTAAAACTTATGTAAAAAAATTTTATTCTTACAAATCCTGTACTTCATTGTATGGTTTTCACACTGGTTACATATCATTTTCAATAACATACATATTAGTAGAAGAATTAAATAAATTATTACTTTTATTTTATGAGAATTACTTACAAGAAATAAAAAAAGAAATTAATAACAAAATGTTGTGACCTACAGGAAACACGATTATGGAAAGTAGATCATATTATAAATATATCTTTCTTTCAAATTATTATACCACGTGAGAAAATATTTCTTTCATTTTTGACCTAATTTTAATTTTTTGTTTCTTAAAATCTGTATTCTCATAAGCAGAATAAATCAAATGTCATGATGCTAGTCTTTATAAAATGTGCTTTGCCCTTTTTGCCAAGGTTTCGTTTTTGTTCCTAAATAAATACTGAAATAATAAAGCGTTATTAGAGCAGAATCGGATCTCTGTGTATGAATGACAAGTCTGAGAAAATTACAATGCAAAATGCCAGCTGTATAGATTGAAATAAATAACGCACTACCATCACCATTTTGCACCTTTTCTAGTCGAGCCATCATGATGATAGCATTTCGTTTTTTTCTCTTTGTCCTATTCAGGTAGGTGAATTTGTTTGTTGCTTTGCAATTTATTTTGTATTAAACGAACTTTCATTTAATCCAGCAGATTTTAAATATATTTAATTTCCTATAGTCAACTACTAATTCATTTCCTTTTTAGTTCGAGTGTATATTCACAAACATGCCGCGAAACATCTCAAAGTGGTCAATGTTCGACTAATAAGGATTGTGGTTGTCTTTCTTTAGCAGCTTCTGAGAATAGTGGTATTTGTGGTTTTCTTGGGATAGATTGTACTCGTCTTGATCTATGTCAAACTCCTGGTAATACTTGTGAAAAACTTGATCATGTATGTGTGCATCATCCTCAGTGTACAAATGTTTCTGTTTGTTATCCATTGGCAATGATTGATCAACGATTGTGTCCACCAATAGACGGTAAGAGGAGACAGATTCATCTATATATATATTGAATCGATGCCTTAAATTTACATAAATTGTATCTAATATGATGATGAAAAAGACAAAAAATTGACGACGAACTATTAAACATTATTCTTTCTAAGTTCATCATCATAAAATCAAAACTCAACAAAATCTTTGTTCGTAAATAAATTCATATTTTTTTCTCTATTCATTTAGCTACACCTTCACCATCAATACCTGATGACGGTATCTGTGCAACAGCAACATGGAGTCAACAAGGTGTTACTGTGGCTGGTGGCTATAGCTGGGGTAATGGACTTAACCAGCTTAGTTATCCTATGGGAATATTTATCGATACAAATCAAACTATCTATATAGCAGATACTAACAACGCTCGAATAGTCAAATGGACAAAAGGTGCTACATTTGGTCGAATAGTTGCAGGTGGATTTGGAGCAGGAGGTGGTACAGCACAATTATATGGTCCAATGGATGTTGTTGTCGATAAATCTGAGACAATCTATATCACTGACACTATGAATAATAGAGTGCAAAAATGGAATAGAAATGCTCAAATAGGCGAAACGATTATTGTAGCACAGCGTCCTATTGGTATAGCATTAGATGATGAAGAATCACTTTATGTATCTGCATCTTATTGGTCAAAAGATTTGCTAAAATTGCGTAAAGGTGACAAACAAGGAACTGTCATTGCTTCTAATTTACCTGAACTCTTTTATTTGTTTGTACATCAAAATCGATCTATTTATGCGGCAGATACAAGCAATGGTCGAATATTAAAAATAGATGAAGGTAAATCACAAGTTTCAATTGTTGTTGGTGAATTACAAAATCTTGGCGTACCTCAATTATCATATCCATATTCTGTTCTTATTGATCGATCTGGTACTACTTATGTCGTTGAATATGGAAATCATCGAGTTACACGATGGTTTTCTGGAGCAAAAGCAGGCATCGTAATTGCAGGTGGTCGTGGTCAAGGTCATCAATCTGATCGACTCAATTTTCCTACTGATATAGCATTTGATCTTGATGGAAATCTTTATGTTGCAGATTACGGAAATCACCGTGTGCAAAAGTTTGCTATTGATAAGAAATCATGTCAATAGATGTGAGTATTAATTAATTTTTATTGTTCTTAGTTATGATATTTCTTTTTTAGAACGACACAATAATGTAATGCTCATATGAAGACCTTCATCTTGATATCGATAATATGTATTATTGATCATTATTTTCATCTAATAAATCTATTCAAATAAAGTTAGCGCATTGTATTGGTTTTGTCAGTTGAGGAAGTCTTCGAAAAGATTTTTCTATTCGAGTAAATTTGATCACTTTGATGATACATTTTGCGCCCCTATTTCAAACAAATAGATATGTTTTGATAACTTCAATTGAAATAAGAGCGATTAAAATACTGATGTTACATATTTCGATTATTTTATCGGATATTGATAAGTATTAAAATTCATCTTTGTTTGTTTTATGAAAAGACCTATAAACCATTTCCGTCTGTTGGTGTTCAGCTCAATTATTATCTATATGAAAATGGAAAATATATGATATTCATATTGTTAAAGTGAGTCAGAAATTTAAATAAAATTGTGAGTCTATTATCTAAAATGGATAGTATTTGCTAAAATTCTCATATTTATTCAGTTTTATTTTCTAATGAAAATTTTGCTGTTTTTGAAGATTACAATTGAGTTATGTGAGAATATTAGAATAATATCAATTTCATATTGATTGAATGAAAAACTTGTTAGAAATATCATTCAAAAAATCACGTATGCTTACGATATACATCGCAAGCAACGATCAACATTCTTTCCTTTTTCGACTTAATCTATCATAACAATAACAATCAATTGTCTCAGGTGCTGCACTGTGGTGTACATATTTTGAGTTTTATAAATAAGATTGAATCAGTAAGACTGGTTTTCTTCATTTAAATAGCTTATATTCAATTTTACCCTAATATTCGAATTTGAAGTTATTTGTCTAATTGCTTTATAGTATTGTTATTCATTTAAAAGTATTGAAACTTTTGTATAAGATACTTTTTTTTCTAAAAAGTAGCGAAGGGCAATTGAATGATTTGATTGAAACTGAACAATCTCACTGGGCGCTGTAAATGTGTCGTTGTGGAAAGAGTATGAGAGAGAATGTGAGTGTTGGTGATGTTGTAGGTATGGATATAGATATGGGTATGAATGGGAAGGGCTGGTTATGGATGAGTGACATGAATACCGATACCCACATCACCCATCTTCAAGATCTCATCGCTCATACACTCAGATATAATCTAGAAGTTAACATGCATTGAATCTAATAAGGACATTATTGTCAGCTGTTGTTGAAATTGTATGTAGTCATCTGGTGAAACTGGAATATGGCGAATTAGATGATTAGCGAACATGATAAAGTGACGATGATTTGCATCGTTTTTCTTTTGCAGATGATCTCGATCCCACACTGTGAATGAATGATAGAGAGAGAATGAGAACGAAGAAAATTAATAATTGAAAACAATATGGATCATGTTTATCGTGTGGTTCTTCTTGACTTTAAGGTGAGTGATATTTGTCAATACTCGTTCAATCATATAGCTTAACACATTCGAGGCGATGTGGCCCACCGGTGGACCACGCTGTATTGTAAGAAAAAACTGTATAGAAAAACATTTTCTTTTGCTTTTTTCTTAGGCAAGAGGTTAAATGTAATATTTCGTCTGCTCTACCTTCGGTATTTTTTATTTCTTTATTTCATAACATGATGCTTCTTATTAAAAAATTCAAGATAAAAAAATTTATCACATTCAGAACAGAAAGTTTTCACTTTCTTAGCTGCCGCATATCTCGCTTCTCGTGATTGTTGTTTCCTTTCTTCTTCATAGCAACTAGTGCAGCGTCTACGAACATTGCGCGCAAATTCTTCTATTTCCTTCAGCTTATGATTAGCAAGTTTGCGCTTCGTCTGGCTTGTTGACTGTTATCCCAGACCAGGTTTCAGATTTTCGGACGGTGTACCAAGGAGTAAAGATCGCACAAGACTCTCACGAAACTGTAAGATGCTTATGTTGCTTGTTGTATAGTTTTCCTTATATATCAAATAGCTATTCATTATTGATGTTCCAAATATCAATTCAAACGCCACCTTTTGATACCATTTTACAGATCGTCTTAGACATGTGTAGTACGCTGACAGTTGATCCGACAAATCTGTACCTTGTCTTCCTTTATTGTAATCGAGCACCACTTGTGACTTCATGATACGCTCGCCAAATGGAGTAGTTTTTCTGATGTCCACGAGAGCTGTTGTTGTATGCGATGGTTTGGTAGATATCATCAGAACCTCTCTTTTGTCTTTCCATTTGATCAACTTAATACCATCGCCACCCTGTAGTCCATAAATCTCACCTTTTTTGAGTTATTTCTGGACAACTTTTTTTCCCGGAACCAACACGATTACTTCTCAATGTTCCAATGAGGTAGGAATCATTTTTCAACAATCGTTTGGCGAGGGCAATACTCGTAAAAAAATTATCAGCTACTACAGTTTGATAACATCCGAAAAGATCTTCTAATAATTGCATGGTGACTGTTTGGGAGTGTCCAAGACTAGTCGTTGGGTTCTGTTTTCCTGTATAAATCATAAAATCCCAAGTATATCCATTCGTATCTGCTACTTAGTACATTTGAACCCCATATTTGTGGGTTTTGCCTGGAACATATTGCCTAAAGGAGAGTCGACCTCGCCATGGTACCATTGTTTCGTCAACAGTAATGACAGAACCAGATATATAAACCGACTTGAATCTAGCTTTCAATAAGTGCAAAAGTGGATTCAACTTTGCTAGTCTATCTTGACTCGCATCCTGTTCATCATTGTTCGAAAATACTTGAGGAGCAATTCAAATTTGTCTCTCGACATCGTATTTTGAATAATCTTTGATCAATACAATTGACTTTTGCTCCAGTAATAGTCTACTTTTGGCATTTGTACTAAACTCATCTCGATAGCTATTTCCAAAAATTTCAGCATTTCTTCATTAGTAGTTGATTCCCATTGAAGATTTTTCGATCGTTTGCTAGGTTTATGTGTTAGTAAGTATTGTTCTGCATATCTATTAGTTTCGCGAACCATAAGGCTTATAACCTCATTAGTGATAAAATGTCGATAGCAATCGATAGGATTGATTGTACCATCTTCAGAAGTTGCGTTACTTGTTCAACAATTTCATGATCTTCCAAAAATTCACCATCAGATTCTGATTCTATTTCACTCCAGACATTTGAATCCATCTCATCATCAGTGACTTCTTCGTCGGAACTTGCAGCTTCGAAGTGCATTCTATCGAAATCATCATCCAAAGAATTCACTTCACTGAGTGAGTCAACGCTATCTTCTGTACTAGCTTCTTCTGACGACATGTAAAATATTCAAGAAATCTGACAATTTTAGACGCTTTTATACTGATGAGCGGCGATAAGCAGAATAGACACGAATTCAGCAGAAAAATCTAGAAATTTTCTATCCTTATCTCGCATGTAACGTATACTATATGCTACAGAACGAAAAAATAACTTGAGTCATTATACAGCTGAACATGAGATTCGATTCGCTATCTAATTGTACAACAAAGAAGTACGATTAAAAATCGATAGAATAGAAAGAAAACGTCAGTAAGTGCATTTACTAAAAGCTTATTCTACGTGGCAACGAGTATGTCGATCAATTTCTGTATGAAAACTGAATCGCCTCGAATGTGTTAATATTAGAAAATATCAAATAACCATTGTTTACCTCGTTTACTTCGTCTTTTGATTAGCCCTCGACCAATCACAAAATTAGTACGACATAATCCACTCAAGTTAAAGTGAATCATAATTGAACATAAGAGCAAGTGGATTCATCTATATTTTAGAAGTTTAAACTTTTTTTCTATCCGATTATAGAATAAAAGCAAGAAAATAATTGAAGATAAGAGAACAGTTTTAGATCCATGATTCATGTTCTTGTGAAAGTTACATGAAGATATATTGTTTATATGCCTTATAAACGACATTAATTTGTTAACATGTGGACTTAAGTTGCAGTTTTTCATTTGATTCGAAAGCCTATGATCTTTAGAAATAAACCAGTTTTAATCCTCATTTAAGGCTAGGAACTTCTGCAGTTCATTCCTTCTGCAATTTTTGACGTCCACGATAACTATAATTTAATGCTTACTTTAGTCAAACTCAACGAAAAACGGAAGAAAAAAAGACTCTTATGCAAATTGTCTAATTTATTTATTTTGTTTCTGATTCGTTAACATTGTAATTAGTATAGAATACATTTGTTACTTAAATAAGAAACTTATCATCAAGCTGATGAATTGGTTTTACATGAGATCCAGTTTCACTATCTAAGTGAAAACTTACAGACACGGTCTCTCTCTTTTAACGCGACTGTTTCTTTTCTGCATAACTTGTTATTAATCTAATTATTATTTCTGAATTTTATGTTGTGTTATGATTTTTATAGAATCTCGAATGGCAACCAGATTGTTTGACAAAGTTCTGAACTGCAGTCCTAATTTATGTCGTCATGACAGTCGACCATCATCGCGTGAACTTAACTTACTAGATCTCAGTTCGGACGCATTGGTAGCATGGGATACAGATCATTCAGCAGATCTAAACTATTATGTAGAATTAGCACATCGTATTGCATCGACATTCGATGATGCTGATCAATTGATTCTTTTCGATGATATTAGTATTGTTATATCGGACACACAACGTCCCATGATTCTGGGTATGCGTGGTTTTGATCGATCATTATTACCAGGTCTTTGGCTATCGACCGGATTTCGTCGTAGTGGTCGAATATTAGTCTATGCACCACCGAATACGATTGAAATGAGCACCTATTTAACATTGAAAAAATTAATTGAACAACATCTTCAACGAAAAGTTCCTATTGAAATTTTATACGAAGATTCTGCTGATCAATTACATGAGTTAATCAGTTTATTTGAACAAAATCGAGAAAAATATGTTAATCTATGTGAGGAATTTGCGGAACGATCATCCGACGAATTCTATTGAGAATATCATGTTGACATGCTTAAATGACATTTGGATAGAATTATCGATGGTGCTCGTCGATCATTTGTTTTTTCTTATGAAATAACTGAATATCATCATCGTGAACTTCAGCCATTTACTGACCGATTATTATTACCTGATCTACCGACAAGTAATAAGGCACAACATAATTTATATTGACGTTCAAGAGGATTTACAGCGATACCACATCTCTTGGCTGTTGCGACAGATGGTTCAATAATCGAAACTTATAATCAATATATCGATTATCTGAAACATTTCAATCCAATATGTATACAGAATATGTCACAGAATATCGAGGTATGCTCAGAATGATATTTTTGTTTTTATAATCAGCGATGTTTATCATTGTAGAACTTCGCTCGTGGTGTCATTGAAGCGATTGATAATCTCTATCATCAATATAATCTAGCTGCTTTTGTAAAATTGGATGCAGAAGGTGCGGCTGGTTAGTCTTGTATGAGTCCGAATGAACACTCCATTATTTACAATTGTGATCAAGATCAAGAACGTCGCATCGCCTATCTACGAGAATATATTGAAGCAGAGGTTGTTGGTGAATCATTACCAATATTCGCAGTTGTTGAAAAGTTTATTGAACCTCAGAAACGTTCGGGTAATATTGATGCTGATTATACTGTTTGTGGTTTTGTACTTAATGGAAAATTTTTTCCAACATAAATCAATCTATGTGGAGCAGAAAATGGATGTTATATAGAACAGGTATGAAAAAAGCACAAGAGTGGTAAGATTAAAATTTGTATTATTATTTCATTCCATAGTAGACTTCTGCATTACCGGCTGATCTACACGATACATCTGTCGATTGGCAACGTATGTTTCACACTTATTCATTGATGGTTGTGTGCGAATCATCAGAATTCGGTTATAAAAATGGAATCTATGCTGGTAATTTATTCATAACAAAAGATGGTCAATTTAAACAACGTGATTGGAATATACGTCGTGGCGGACGTTCATCACCGGAAACCTTAACTATTTTCGGTTTACCAAATTATGAAACAAAAATAATCTTACATTTATCTGATTTTGGACTTGATGGGAAAATGACTAAACTTGAATTATTTAGAATTCATACACGTATTTGTGAATGTCTCGCACAAGACTATGGGATGTACATATTTTCTTCGGGTTATAGTTATTGTTGCAAAGATAATGATAATGGAGATTTTCTGAAATTTAACGTACTTGTTCATCCAAAATGGTTGGTTACAATCGATCGACATGGACAAAAGCAAAAACTAGCTCGAGATGAACATCGTAATAAGGTGACTGAATTTGTGCGAGATACGGCTACTAAAATTCTCCGTCAAACAATCATGTAAATTTTTATTTCAATTGTTTTTTCTTGTTTCATCAGCAATGCATATTTCCATTTAGTTGCACAGATGTTACTATAATAAATTGTTAAGAACTTCAATTGAGATATTGCATTAACATGTATAGAAATTATGATAAACTGTTTTCAGATTGAGAATCATCATAAATACGGTAATTCGGAATACGATTGATGCAAAAACTTCATATGAAACAACTTTAGTTGGTGAAGGGTTGTTTTTAAAATAAATTTTTAGAAAGACTATCAAAAAGATCATTGCCTCTTTGATAGAATCAGTTTATGATCCAAAATAATCATATTTCACAATTGTTCATTACTGTCATATAAAATATATGAACCATATGCCTCATTTTCTTTTCATTGTCTTATACAAACATTGAAATCATCTGGCGAATTTTCGATTGATTCTGCTCGTCTATATAGGTTTGAATGATGCAACTGGGCTGTAGGTAATAAATTTAATATAAAATATATTTCATCCATTAATAGAGAAGGTTGTGAGCAAGCTTGAACAAATAATAAATCATAGTTGTTTTCTTTTGACCATTTTTGTTGACATAATGAACTTCAATAAGATGGCGGCGATATGGGTGTTGGTGGATAGGGTGAGATTGTTTAAAAAAAGACACTCACACACATCCCACACCCACACCCAAAATAAACGTGCTAAAGTTTTGTTTCACCAGTTTTTAGAATTTATCAATATTATGGAGAAGATTAGAAGTAAACTATATGATTCAATACAGTAGTTCATCATCTATTTATTATATCAATATAAGAAATATTTTGAACTTTTTGATAAATACAGAAAACTGAATAAAGCAAATACGTTCAAACAATGTTTTGAGAAAATTCGTTTAAACGCAAAAATACCGTTTTTTTTTCTAAAAATTGACGTTCGAATACTGTTTTATAGAAAACTATTTCATTTTGAGTACCATCTGATTTAGTTGTTTTATTTTTTCATCAGTAATTCACAATGATTTGGCTACTATTTATACAGATTATCTCACTAGTTTTTTCAAATTTTTGTACATTGATAAACATGAATCAGAGTTTAGCTGGAATATTTTATTAAAAAAGATAAATAAATATATATTAGTGCATAGCACATTTACACTTTGACCAAAACACCAATTTTCTTTTACAATAACCAGTTGCATATCCACATGATATGCATTTATCAATACATCCGGCCACTCCATGACGAGAACATGTAGCTGATGGTAGACCACAACTATCACCAGAAACATTAATCACTAAAAATATTAAATCGATATAGACAATTTCAGAATATGTTTCACTTAAATGCACATACTACACAATGCGAATATGAGAGCGAAGACAATCAATACGACAATTAACGTTCGAGCCATGTTAACGATTTTTGTTCTTATTTCGTATAAAAATACTCTTGTATTTATAGTCCAACATTCAGAAGTATTTTATTTCATATGTTGAGTGATATATGATAATCAGTTTAAAATAAACATGAGATAGTAGATCTTTTATTAGCAATTGTCAGGTTTTATTACGATTATTTTATTATGTGTAATTACTTATACTTATCTATCTACACCAACTTTCTAAAAATAATAGCATCGTAT